TTTCGGCATAAGTCAAATCGTTTCCACGTCAAAGGAGAAGATGAGTGACACCCACGGAACTGTTTACTATGTCGCTCCCGAGGTGGCAGGCGGGTGGCTATGCGCTGTCGATTGCTCCTGTCCTTCAGATTCTCATGGGCGACTATGATTTCCGTTGTGATGTGTGGTCCATCGGTGTAATTGTTTACATGCTACTATCGGGTTCGCCTCCTTTCACTGGAGAAGACGCCCGTGAAACTGTCCGAAATATCTTCCAAGCCAGTCTGTGCTTCGACGGTGAGTTGCGTCCGCAACTAGCCTCGCCGATAGCCGTGCTGCTAGGTCCTCGATGGGAAGGTGTATCCCCCTTAGCTAAGGAGTTCATCTCTAGCTTGCTTCAGAAAAATCCCAGCGATCGTCCAAGCGCTTTGGAGGCATCCAAGAGCGAATGGATCAGAACCTTCGTGACCATCCAGGAACCCAAGTCGGACTTGATAGACTCGGGCCTGCTGGAGATCCTTTGCCAATTCGCGAAGGAGAGCGACGTGAAGCGAGCGGCTCTCAGCCTCGTGGCCTTCAGTATCAATCCCAAGGTTGTCTGCGATGCTCTAGCTGACGAGTTCCGTTCACTCGACTTTGACGAGTCTGGCACAATACGTCTGGGGGATCTCACCAAGGCTCTTACGGAGCGGCTCGGTTTAGATGCTGTGGAAGCGGAAAAGATCTTCCGAAAGCTCGACCAAACTGGCGACGAAGAAATCCATTATTCGGAATTCCTCGCAGCGTGTTTGCAACATCGTATCACATTGACAGAGCAAGACGTTCGGGATGCTTTCTATCGTCTCGATGTGGACAACTCGGGCGTGAGTGGCACTCAGCTCGCGGCAGCGTATTCTTTCTTTTTCCCTCAGGTTATCTCGCTGAGTAACCTGCGTAATGTCCTGGGTGATCGCTTCTGTGGAACTAGAGTGGAGGATCTCATCAAAGAGGCTGATGCCAACAATGAAGGGTAAATCTTTTAGGACTGATCCAATCGCTGTTCTGGCAGCCTCGGTAGCTTGTGACGCTTTTCAGGTATATCACGTACGAGTCCTTCAGGCATACTTTATTGGACTCGAAAGACGGCGGCTCCTTCACCTTCAGTAAGCTCCCATCCAGTAGCATGAAATCGCATCGCTTGCTCTATCGATACTCCCACTGGATTTCACGCTCTTCTCATAGGACTGCTATGAGTATTCCTTCTCTTTTCAGCGTCTACTATTGCCTCCGCGAACATGATGTGAGCCAACTGACTAATCGCCTGAATGGAGCTTCCCGCTGTCCACCGCTCTCCCGAGTCCAGGTTGAGAGTTGCTCGGTCTCTCGCTGTGGTCCAACTCGTGTACAATTCCGCTGAGTGCTTCGAGGTGTGATCGAGTCGTCGATATGATGATTGTGATTTTACGTTCATACTGGTCCGTTCCTTATTGTATGATGAACTATATTAAACAAGATAAACGGTAACAGTAACGACTTTGACCCCGTAATAACGATGAATTGTTCATTCCCATCGCTGCAGCGATGCGAACGTTTCCCAATATTACACAAGTTGTTGTGTATCAGGAAACAACTCAACCCCTCGGCGAATCATTCGGTTCGAGACTGGCAATGTCGGGGCTCCCAAATCCGCATGGCCCTGTCCGTGCCGTGCATAGGTCCCCCAATGCAGCCCGAAAAACCTGTGTTGACACATTTCTTAGACAGTCAAAAAGCGTCAACGATCACAACGGGATCGTAATCTTCTTTCTGTCCATATATTGTCAGGAACGCAGCACAGAGATTCTCATATCTAAAAATACCCACCCGTTTGCCTTTCGATTGGTTCTCCGGCTGTGTTCAAAACTTTTCTGGTTGCGAAGAAGTGATTCGTACGCTCGCACGCTCGAACGCTGGAAAGGATTGCGATACATAGCACTGATGGCTTTGCAATGATCCGATTCGTCATCATCAATACGAACA